AAAATTAATAGATTATAGAAAAAATGGATGTTAAGTTGAAATCTTAGAGTAAGAGTTTAATATATGTTTTATTTGTATCTGCTATAAAAGAAGCCGTAAGTCATTTTTTTGGTATTTCTTTCTTTCTTTTTCTTTACTTTTCTGCACTTTTGCTTTCTCTTTATCCTTTCTTTTATTCTCTTTCTTGATTATTACTTTTTGTTAGTTTTTAAAAATTTAATAAAATTATTACATAAAAACAGTTTCTTCTCAGCTATAGGAGGACACAGATTGAATTAGGACATAACAGCATTCCTCTTGAACAGAAAGGGGCTCTGAATCATTCCAGGATGCTTGTTGTATTACCTATCCTTTGAACCTCGGTCCAGGCTTCCTGGTTTGGAAGAGGCAACCATTTTGGCTTCCATGCCTGGACTGCTTTTCCTGTCAATTTAGGAAGCTCAAGCAGATGAAAGAATTTCCTTCTTGTCTGCTGAAGGGAGGAAGAGAGACTTAAGGAATAACCAATAAGCTATGGGGTGACAGGATCAAGAGCATGTCCAGCTTTAATATGAAAACACTGAGATGGGATTATTATAAATTTTGGTATTAGGTCCTATCATCTCTTTTCCTTGGAACAATTCTCCACTGTTACAAGGAAAAGACATGATAGGCCCTAATACCAAAATTTATCAAATTCCAAGTTTGTATTCAAATTATTTGAAGAACTCCCTACAAATGATTGATACAAATGATATGGGGATTTGAAAAAGACTTCGGTGTGAGAAGACTCAGACTATGGCCCAGAGCAGAGGAACTGTCCAGATGAACAGATGGCTTTACAGCTTTCATTTACTGTATAGACAAATAGTTAAGTCAGTGATTCAGTATATCTCAGAAAGAAGACAAACAGACATATTGCCATTTAATTCCATTAGCCCAATCATACAGAAATACTAGATCAGAATTCATCATTTCCCCACACTTTTCTACCCTGGAAGAGAAAAAGCTTCTACTACTCTCTATGTTCTGCAGTCATCTCTTCTGGTTAATTTCTTCAAGGATTAATTTGGTCACTCTATTACTAATTGTAAATAACCTGCACCTCCAGTGTTAATGGAACTTCAAAAAATAACTCAGGAACAAAGAGACTGCCCTTCACCTAGTCTATACAGTGTACAATCTAAATTTTGAAGAGGAAGAGACCAAAGAGGAATAAAATTAAGAAGAATCCTTTAATCAAACACAGCTTTATGTCCTTTGGTGTTCTTTCAGGAGGAGGTTCAAGCCACGGGGAGAGTTCATCCTCTTTATTCTTTTCCTGAAGACTGAGTGTTCATAGTTCCCCTAAAATATGTCATTTTCTGTAGCAATGACGTTTAATTTCCTTTCTTTTCCCACTGTGGCCTATATCTTAAACTAAAATTCTACTCCATGTTATATTTCTCCCTACAGTCTCTTTTCTCTACCATCCTCCTCCTAGCCTTTTTTTAGCTTTCTGTATTTATGTAGTTAACAAGCATTAGGAAATTATATTCCTGTTTATGAAAAACACTGATGACAACATGGTTACATAAGCCTGGCCATTCATGTTACCCACAGGAGGAGGAAGGAAAAAAGGAAGGAAATATTATCAAGAAGCCATTGCTGTTTCTACGCAGATAATGTAAAATCCACTCTTGGGAGCTAACAGGACTTTATATAAAAATCTCTTGCTGACCTGCTCATTAAAGAGACTTCCTATAGTTGTCTTTGGTAAAACACTTCCTTTACTGACTTAAATTCTAAGAAGACATTAAACACAAGAACAGCTGGGTAACATGAATCAAGACATCAAGATAAACACCCTTAGAAAGATGTTGAAAGTAATGGAGTCATCTTTGTTTCTTGGGGTGATCTTGGACTAAATTCTCTAAACATAAGGCAAACAATATACTCTAGCACCAAAAAAGTAATTATACTATGAAGCTTCAGTCTGAATTGTTACTAAGAAATAATTGGTTCTGAGTCAGAAGTCAGTAGAAATAGAGATCAGGTGTTGATGAGTTAGCAACGAGACCTGGTATTTTGTAAATTAAACACATGGTCTATTCTTGATAATTTAGCATGGATCTCTCTTTGGGGTGAAATCTGGATCCAACAATATTTCTCCAAGGCATATTTCATCAAGGTACACTAAGAGAAAACTTTAATTCACATTATAAATGATGTTGTACTTTTCCTCTTGAATACTTTGCTCCCAACTTTCAAGAATCAGATAAGTCAATAATAGCCTAATCCTTAACCCTTCTGGAAGAACAATTTCTTCTCTTTACAGATGTTTCATGCAATATCTACACCTAATATTAAAATTGTGCATTTTCTACCACCTTGCTTTATAAAAATCTACTGGCTTAAAACCAGAATAAGGCTAGCTCAGGGTAGCTCAAGTTTAATAAAACCAGAAAATTAGACGGGCTGGGGAAAACATTTTAAAATCCTTTGGTGCTTGCTTATCTTAAATACTTTACTAAGGCTCAAAGAGAGGATGATCTCAATAATCAATAAATCTGTCCTCATATCCAAGTGATCCTATGATCAGATCAGCAGCATTTAGAAGAAGTCAGCTAGATTATGGGGCAGGATTCTTCAGAGTAGTGTTATGGTCTGAGCAAGTGCAGAAATCAAAAGATCAGCCAAAATGAAGTGCCTGTGAAAATTCATGTTGGACTCACATGCCGTGATCTGGCTTGAGAAACACTGGGGCTGCTGTCACCAGAAGCGGTGGCTGAGAAAGCTTCAAGTTCGAGGTTAGGGAAAAGAATGTAATTCCTCTCATCTTCTTTACACAACCAGCTAGCCTATTTCTACCTCTTTTTAGAGTAAGTCCTGCATGGTCATGTGGTGATGACTCCTGTAATCTTGGGCTCGAACCTGTCTCCAGAGAAATTCTGGACTATAGGCTAGTCAGGAGAGAAGATACTAAGAGATGTGGCAACATCACAATGACTTGATTACAATCATTTTATCAGTTAAAGAATGGAGGCAAGGTGAGGATAAGGTTTTATTTTAATGAAACAAGGGTGAATATGTCCAGTGAGGACAGAATTCTGTTTCTTGAATCACATTTTGGCCCCAGGAGTGAATCAGGACCAATTACCGTGCTCTGTTAATGGTATCTCAGTTCTAGACCATGAAACAAGAGACACTTTCTTTAGGGTCTTAACATTTATGATTACTCTACTGGTAATCCCATCCTCTCCCCAGTGTATTTGATAAGACTTTTCTGCAAATTAATATACATACTGTATGATAAATGAGATTAACAAATGGAAATTACAATTTCATTTCAATAAGTCCTTGACTAGGAGCATAGATTCTGACAAGATTGCTTCTAATCTGCATGCCTTTCCTATTTTCCATCCTAATTTGTACACCTTTTATATTTCATTCCAACTGACATATGTATAAAGGCAAAGGAAATGAGGAAAAAGCACCCGCTCAAAAGAAAAGCCCTTTTCAGAATGAGAACTGAACTTAGTTATGTAAATATTAAAACATTTTGTTTCAATATTGAACCTAGTTTATTTTCCATTCTTTTAAAGATAGCCAAGTACTTCTTATAGCTAACCAAGCAAAACAAAGGAGCACTTCTTTCCGAGCTTTAGACGTTGATCTATATAAGCATGAAACAAAGAAACAGTATTCGTATTTTATGAAACCATTTTAAAATATTAACAAGAGGGAAATCCTGTGACCACTCAAGGAATAACAGGCCAGTGTGCGTGTGTGTGCGTGTATCTGTACTGAATACATTTCATAAATAGGGGTAGTCTTCCAAAAAACTATATGCAGAAAACTACATTTATTATATCTGAGAGTCATATGCAGCTCTCAGTGCCATCTCCTTCTCCTTGGTTCCTAGTGTGTCCCTCTGGGAATTTATGAGTGACGGAGGGAACTGAAGGAAGGGATCTGCCCAGAGATAAAACCATGAATCTTATATTACTGCAAACTCAGCTCTCTCTCCGTGAACTGCTGGCTGCAGCTCTGACCTCTACCAGCTGCTGCTTCTAACTTCTCACAGGATCCACTAGCCTTTCATGACCAAAAATACTGGCATTGCAAGCAAGGCATGTACATTTCATCCCATGCTTCCTCTGTGAATGCCTGTGTTGTCCACCACTTCTTTTTAAGCATTTCCTAATGGCTGAAGCTGTTGATAATGGGACCATTTGATTCAGGAGGTCGTGGACTCTCTTTCATTGGCAGGGTTTCAACTAAGGCTGGAAGCCTTTCTGTTTTGGCTGCTGTAATTTTATCCTGTATTGCAAGTCCAGCATTTAACAGGGGCTTGGATTCTATGGTCTTCACAAATCTATGATTCCATGAAAACTATTAAATGTAACTTGAATTAAAATCTACAGTGTTGGAAATGCTCCTCTGGAAATATGCATTCGGCTCACGTTTCCAAATATTCACACCCAGAAATTAGATGCTGCATGTTCTGTGTCTCCATCTCCCCATACTGAATGCTTCTCTTCATGCCTAGAAGTTCTCTCTCTAGTAAGTTCAACTCAGCACTTATCCTTGTAAAAGAAATTTAACTAGCTCTCAATTACAAAAATTCAGACTGAAGATAGCAGTGTCAGTGCTCTTAGTATTCCTCAGAAAGCAAGAAAGTACCATTTTTTCTTTATCACCAGTTCTGATAGGATCAAGTCTTAGTTTACATTACTTAATGCCAAGCACAAGATTTTAGCACATCCAACCTGTCTTCTATCCTTTAAAATCACTTCCCATGGTCTTTATTCCATTGTAGGGAGCAACCCCACTCAGATACTCACCATTGTCAAATACTGTCCCTGCAGTGAAGGACAGCTCTGAGTGATGTTCTGCTTTACAAGCGTACAGGGCTCTAGCTTTGCGGAATGGGGAACTGTGAAAACAGTAGTAATTTTAAAAATCAGCATGAAGATAAGCTTGTACATGTTTACGTGTGCAGACACAAACATCTCTCAATCTTTTGGCAAATATTTGAAATGTATGTCAGATCTGCCAAGTGGCAAAATGCAATGCTAAAGGGGAAAACACTAGTTAGAGTAGAGAAAAATGAAGAATGTTTGAGATAACAAGCTGAAACTGAAAGAGACAATACTTCCTTTTCAAACCATATTTCACCATTTTGGAAATTTTGCTTAGATTTATCTGCAGTGTTTGAAATTGAGGCATACACACTGTTACCCAATAGACTGAGCAATACCATCTCAGAGAACGCTACAAAAAATGTGAAAAGCAAATCAGAGACAGAATACAGGGAATATAAACTCCACAAACCAACGATTATTTGTTCTTTGGTGTAGGAGTTGCTGATAAGAAATATTAGTCAGTGGCTTGACTGAAACTAATGTAGCTAACGTTTGTTACAAATAGCTTCTCAATGCAGCAAAGACCTTGAATTGAAGATCTGGTAAATATGCTTTTTTTTTTATCATTTCCTGAATCTTAATCAATAGGTCTAAGGTAGTCCTTTCAGTGCTAATTCATCTACTGTAGAATTTTGGATCTTTAACTGCATCCTTTAACTGAAGCTGTTACAACTTGATGAACTAGAAGCCAGTAAGGCTGTCCAGTGAACCATAACTTGCTTATTTATTTATTTATTTATTTAATACAGTCTAATAACAGTTCTCAATAAATCATCTAAAAATATAGAACTGTATAAATACAACATAAAAACAACATACAACAGTCCCAGTAGAAAACAATGCACACATAGGATAAAAATCAGGAGTATCAATAATACTGTAGTGGTGGATAGCTTCTGTCTTTTAAAATCAACCATCAGCAGTACAAGAACAAGCAGTCAAGAAATACACCACAAAGCACTTGGTAGAATAGCCATGAAGTCTTGGAAAAGATATTCAGTTGCCTTGATGTGTCTATACCTACAAAGATCAGAATAGTGCAAGCAATGGTTTTCCCTGTGATGCTCTATGGAAGCTAAAGTCGGACTTTGATGAAGCAGGATAGAAAGAGTATTGATACTTTGGAAGTCTGGTGTTGGAGAAGACTCCTGAGAATACTGTAGACAGCCAAGAGAACAAACAAATGGATCATTGAAAAAATCTACTCAAATTTCTTACTTGAGGCCCAAATTATCAGGCCCAAATTATCCTACTTTGGACACTTTATGCAAAGACCCAGCTCTCTGGAGAAGGCTCTGATTCTGGGAAAGGTGGAAGAAAAGAGAAGAAGGGGAAGACCAGCAGCAGAAGTGAACAGACTCAGTTACAGTGGTGATGGGTGCATCATTGGAAGACTTGAATGACCAGGTTGGGGATAGGATAGAGAAAATCTATATATGTAGTTGCTAAGGGTCACCACTGACTTGATGGCACACTACCAAGCAATTACTAATAACAATGGCAATAAATACAGCATAAAATCACAACATTAAAGATCTAAAACATTAAAGTAGCTCTTAACAGGTTTAGGTGGGTAATAAGGTGTTCATAAAATGACCATAAGGTAGGCCCTAAGACAATATCTGGGAAGTGTATTTCCAAGATGGAATGGTGCCACTTAAAAGCTCTTTCCTTGGGAACCACATAAATCCAACCCCCTGGATGAGGACACCTGGGAAGGCCCTCAAGGCAAGATTCTAGAGTGCTCCTTCAGGTAGCTGGGCCCCAATCCATTTATTGCTTTATAAGCTATTACCAGCATTAGAATTGGGACTTCAATGCCATAAAATATTGCATCAAGTCTAACACTATAACTCCTGTTTTGAGCTAATAAATTAAAAAAAGATTACTAGAAAGGAACACCTGACAAATCCACGATAAAAAAATAGCAAAACAGTCTTAACTTGGTGAATTCCTTATGTTGGAGGTATAGACAGGGGGACATTCAGTATGTATTATGTTACACCTCCAACACTTGGAAACATCAGTTGCAAAACATCAGTTGTCATTTAGTCTTTATCTTCAGATAGGTGAAAATTCCAGCAGTCTTCTGCTCTGTGAAAGATGAATGCCCAGTCCAGAGGTTTGTTGATTATTACTAATTTTACCACCTATGAAAGATGCATAAAGAGAACTTTGGAAAAACAATTTTTTCTCTGCTTTTTTCCCCTTATGAAGCATCCCTGGAACATCAAGTAACCCTATGAAAACTTGACTTTCCAGTTATGTCAAGGAAGGCTAACTGAGTTTTTGAGGCAGGAGACCACTGTCAAATGCTTTAGTTTAGATTCTTGCACTGAGCAAGATGTTGTACTGGACTCAGTAGCTTTATGACTCCTAATCATATGAGGCTAAGAAGAGACTTTTAGACCTGCCTTGCTGTTCCTTGGGGATGGGCCCTAAACCACTGTTGAACAGTCTTTTTATTGATGAAGAGAGGACAGAGATTGTTTTCTCTTTTCTAAAAAACTTTAAACTGTAATCTATGGATTACAAAAGGAGATGTTGGCAGATCAGGTACGATTGATCTAACTGATCACAGGGCACAGAGGATTAAAAAAAAACCAATAGGGGTTGGCTGTTGCTCCTAGTTTCTATGGATTGGTGATATTCCATCCCTTTGTCCATTTTTCTCTAGGAATTTCTTTAATCAGTTTTAGTTATTTGCTTGCTTGCTGCTCACCCCCACCTCCTCTCTCCTTGTAGAAAAGCCATATGCATTAGTGATAATGGCACTGAGACTGTGCTTTTTTTGCTAGTGGAAAATATGGTATTTAAATTTGAGCTCCTTTACAGTCTTTGAAAATCCCCTGCTGAGAAATGTGTAAAGAGAAAACCAGATGACCTGGACAGCAATATAATTAATATCAGAAAATACCAGACCAGCTTTATCCTGAACCAAATGAGAAGATCTGCAACAGATGTTTGTTAAATCGTCCAACAATGCTGGCCTCTTAAGTTCAGTAAACTGAACCTCAATTGTTCTATCAAGAGCTTTAAGTAAAGGAAGGCAAAGATGATGGCATGGTTAAATAAAAGGAAATAACTTTTGGAAAAATTATTCACATGCGCAATATACTATCTTCCCACTCATACTGAGGAACATGAATATTATTGTAAGAGTGTCTTTTTTGAGACAATTTTTAGCAGTGGCTGTTGGATATACACTCGGGGCTTTGCTAGATATGACCTGAAATGCATCTTTTCATGTGAAGTGCACTTGTGAAATGCAAACAGCATCTGTGAAATAGGTGAATTAATACGGGGGATTAATTCTTCCTCCTCTTGATGAAGTCTTAATGACAATCTATAGACTACTAAAACTCTTGTGTCTGTAACCTTCAACTGGACAAAACAGTGCATCACAGGGCAACAATTTTTGAACTAAGGCACCCCGGGGACTCCTGTGGGATTGAAATATGGCACATTTGTGGCTGCTTCAGCACTGCTGTGCTGCCACGGTCAGCCCAGGTCACATGATTGTCAAGGGCACATGCATCCCCAATCTCTTTTCTGCCTCCCACTGTCCCCTGCATCCCATCGGCTGGCAGCAAAGCCTGACAGGTGAGTGGTGATTGGCTGCTTTGGAAATGAGGCAGAAATTTTAAATCTCTTAACGGTGATGGGTGTTGAGGAAGGATGAGTGAGTGACTTGGATGCCTGCTGGTGAGGTAGGGCTGGCTTGGGGGTGCCGGTGGTTGATGGGGGAGCCCTTTTCCTTCGAGAGAGGGGGCCCTTGGGGACACACTGGAATGGGGAGTGGGAATGCAGTATTCCTCACAGTCTGTGACTCCCTTTGTTCCACCTCCCTCCAGCAAAGTGGCAGGAGTGACCACCTCAGTGGTCAGCTGAGGAGGAGGAGGAGGAGGAGGAGGAGGAGGAAGCTTCACCAGGGCTCTCCTGAGGGTTGTGAGGGAACGGCAAATGGCGCAAGTCTATACTATATGTGGAAAGGAAGATTTTGACGCTTCCTGCCAACTTCCCACAAGCAAAGTCAATGGGGAAGCCGGCAGCAAGTCACAAGTCGCTCACACTCCCACTGCTTTTTTGCCCTTCATTCTGTTTCTGTGTTTAGGGAAGGAAATATCTCTGGAACGATGACCCAACGGGTTACGGGTTGTGTAGTTAAACATCCTTTAAAGCTGATGTTTTCAGTGGCAGGGAATTCCTCACCAAAGATAACGGGTAATTTTCTTCCATTGCAAATAGAAGAAATTTTCATCAAGCCTGGGGCAATGAAGGAAAGTGTTCCGTTTCTACTCTTTGCCCACAATAATCCTGATAATTATCACTGCCTCTCCCAGCAAATTTTATTTGCACTTTAAAGAACATGCCAAAGTGTAAAAGCATGTTTAATGCAAGTCTATGTTGGCTCCTTGAAGCAGATTATCTGGATTAGGGTGAACCAAGCAATTTCTGCAATTAATTATACTGCTGTTCAGGTGATCGGGTCTTTTTAAATATGCCTTTCTCCACAGGGGCTTCAAGATGTAAAAGATCTTACATTTAACCACTGCATTTTCCATTGACTTAACAGAAACCTGATGTCTTAAAGCACACAATCACTTGTGCACAGCATGCCAACGGGGAGGGGGGGGGGAATTGACTGAATGGCAGGAATGGAAAGCTGCAGCAAAATTATAGCAAGTGGGAGCTCTTATGGTATCTGGAATTCCAAGCCAAAGGGATGGCAGAAAACAAACCTACTCTGAGCTGCTCCACAATTAGAACCAGACCACCCTCTATCTGTCCCACTGAGACTTATTCTTGCAGCATTTTTAGAGCTTCAAAGTCAGAGACAGAATTTCAAAAGGGGCTATTTCTTTGTTGTGGAAAGTTGCATTGAGAAGGAAAAAAATCAAGTCACATTGTTCAGAAAGGTGCAGCAAACACCCTTTCATAAAATGTAACACATGAGCTCAGAATGAAAAGCCATGGACACATCCCTCAAACATTTCCAATGCAAGTTACCTTCTTTTCAAACAAGAAAAAAGTGATATTAAAATGAGACACATGCACCCTTATGTAGGGTTCTCTTCAGGCATCAAATGCCTTGCCATGTCCCTCCATCCCAACACTTACATTTACAATTCTAAATTTTACTTAAGTCACACCAATAGTTGGTTCAACTGGTTGGCTTAGGGTTCCAAAATAAGTGAAAGCCACAAAGACAGGCAAAAGCCTGAAAATGGATCAGTTTAACCAGGGAGCTTGTTCAACCCTCAACAGAACAGGTTGAAGACAAGGAGCAATGGGGGAAGGTGGGCAGAAGAGAAAACAGCCAGGCCCCCTCTCTTCAGGAAAATGTGTGACTTTTTAGAAGATGGGAAGGAACCCAGGAAAACGCAGGCAAGCATAGAGCATTCTCTAATAATTAAAACAAGTTGAAATAGCATTGCCAAAATAGCCTTCAGTTTATGGTCCAATTTTGGACTTTGCATTTCTTTCCTTTTGCAGCATCTTGATGCTCTGAACTGCAACGCCCTTCAAAGGCTGGCTTGGATGATCAAGGAGCCCTGGATCTTTCGAATCAGTCCTTTGTTTTAATTTTTGCTTTTAAGCCTGGCATTTGGCCAAGAAAGCACTCAGTCGAGTTTCGGCCATGTGACCTCGTACACTTTGGAGAAGAGCTGCAAATGTGCCGCTCCCCTCCAACACTTCTCATTCTGTGGCCCTGGATGCATTCCTACATCAGAATAAAAGCCTAATAGGTATTACATATGGGAATGGGAGGCTGGACGTTGATGAATTGTTTATTTATCATCCGTGTGCCAATAGAATATACATGCGCTCTCTATGCAATTTTCATGAACTAATCAATCTACCACCCCGCCTAATCCATCTACCTCCCAGAGAGATAGGGTTTATCATCAGATTGCAGGGAATTACAGTTTGGGATCCACAGATTATGTTAACCCTGCTGTTTCATGCTCACCTTGTTCATCATTCTATGATCCAAAGAAGAATCACAGACACAGTTTTTTTAGAGTGTTTCACTTCTAACAATCAATGCCAAGTCCTAGAGATGGCTCTATGCTCTGCCCCAATCCAGAGCATATTAAAGTAACTTTAATTACTCAGTAGCAAACTGCATTTTGCCCAGGTTCAGAGATAGTGGGATGATGGACGGAGAATCCAAAGAAGCACGGCTCTGAGATGCTGTTTTCCCCAGATGCTGCGAAGGAGCTTTCTAAATTTCTTGTAGCTCATGATGACAAAACAAAGAGGAAGTCAGCAGATGAAGGAATAATCAAATAGAAGATAATGACTTCTTTTTCTCCCCCCTCTTTGATAGAGTACCACTTCATGCTAGCACTTTAACCATAGCTCTTTTTTTGTAAGATGGGTTTGCATTTTTAATAAAAGCTAAATACTGTATTTTAGCTGCCTGAACATATTTGGTTAAAACTCAATCTGCTTTTAAGCTGAAATATGAAGTTAGAAGAAAGTAACACTTAATCCAGGTGCATAAGGCTGCTATCTTAACCCTCAATTTAAGGGTAACTTTGTATTAGTGGCTTGTTGTGCTCTATGATGAAGTTTTTAATCAGAAATGGAGCTCGGAGTATGAATGTGATTTCTGTTGGGGACCTGGCCCTGCAATAGGCAATGCAAAATTCCACCAAGGTGCATCAATTATTATTTAGGTTAATGAAAGCTGCATCACATTTTATCTGTAACAGCATGCTTAAAATGCTTCCAAAGTTTGTTTAAAAAACCAAAAGAAGCCAAGGTGTCCCAGAAAATAATTCCTAGTCTTCCTCAAACATGGCTAGACCCACACAGGAGACTAAGCCACAATTTAACCATGGTTTATCAAATAATTATAATTGTATGTAGTTCATACAATACATTATGCCATAAATCATGGTTTGCAAACAAAATGCCTGAATACATGCAAAAAACTAAGCCAAAACCAAATGAACCAAATTATGGCTTAGCCACTATGCAAACCCAGAGGATAACTAGCTCAACACTATTCAATGAAATTCACTGCTAATCAGGGATGTGAAAAAGATCTCTCAGTCAATGATCATTAGCCATTTTACTATTTTATATTTGCAGATGAAATTATTATTATGGTTGGTTGCACAGTCAACCAGATGTTTAGACTGGATTTGGCATTTTTATCCACCTTCCTTTCCAAGGATGTGGCAGATGTTTGATGGTACTAAAGGTATCATTGCAGGATATAAGCTGTTCCACATAAAGCTGCCTTTTGTAATTGACTGATGGTGATTTTGTCAATGCTGATGATCTTCAAGTGGTACTCCAGATGTTTTGGGATTGCACCTCAGGCACCTATTACTACTGGGACTATCTTTGCTTTCTTTTGCCACAGTCATTCTATTTCTATTTGCAGGTCTTTGTATCTTGTGACTTTCTCCAGTTCTTTCTCTTCTATTCTGCTGTCTCCAGGTACTGCATCATCATCATCATCATCATCATCATCATCATCATCATCATCATGTAACAATAGACATCCAGAGAGAACAATAAAACCATAACTCTCAATACCACATACTCCCAAGGGGCCTGCCATACTCCCTAGCCCACGGCCTGAGAAAAGAGCCAGAATTTCAGGATTTGCTTAAACAAAATCAGGGTAGGGGTCACTCAAATCTTGGGATTGCGACAGAATCTCTGGGCAGGCATTGTGACAGCGAAGGCCTGTTCCTTGGCTCTGTGACACTGTTTAATTGATGGGGTCTGAAGCATGCCAACTCTGATCATACAGGACATGCATCGACCACAGGTGACATGTGATTCCTAAAATAACCAGGCCTCATGCCATGAAAGGTTTTATAGGTGATAATGAGCATCTTGAATAGCATCCCATAACTTACTGGTAACCAGTGCAGCTCATGGAGCAGAGGTGTTACATGGGCATACCCAGGCATGCCTACGACTGCCAGTACTGCCTCATTCTGGAACAGCTGCAGCTTCTGAATGGTCTTCTAGGGCAGTCCTACGTGGAATGCATTGCAACAATCCACATACAAGGTGACCAAAGTGTGAGTCACTGTAAGGAGGGTTTCCTGGTACAGGAATAGGGACAATTGATGCACAAGATAAATCTATGCAGAGGCCCTCCTGAGCACAGGTGCTATCTGCTTTGCCTCTCCCTCTCATCAACGAACCATGGGAAAAGGAGAACTACTGCAACACTAGGTGCCCCCCCTCTTCTAGTCCCTATAGGTAGTCCAGAAGGACACCACAATTAATGATATCAAAAGTCTCTGAGAAATCATGGAGGGTGAAGATAGTCACACCATACCTGTCCCAGCTCTGCCGGTGGTCATCAAGAAGATACTGGATTTGCCAGGATAAGTTCTCAAACTTTAAGGATGCACTATCATCCTTAACAACCTTTGTTTCTATCACAAAGGTTGTTGCTTTGAAATCGATACAAATGTTTCCAACAGGATCAACATTTGTATGTATGAATCAACATACACTGATTCAGACACCTTAATTAAGTAAGTACTTAAGTACATAGGCAGTGTATATTAAGTAATTTTGTTTTTGCAGCTGCTTATGTATTTTTGGTTACTTTTTCTCAAGCTTTCACAAAAAGTGATACGGGCCCAGCTAAGAACCTTCTTCCTTTGTCAGCTATTCTGAACAGTTGATTTGGGGGAAGGAAGAGTAGTATATTTTCATGTATTTTGCAGGACTATGATTATGATGGTGCAAAAGGGACAGCCAGTGGAATTTCACAAGAAAGCCAGTGTATGCTGTTTCTGGCATAAGTGAACAAATTCCTCCTGAAAGATAAGGTAATTAAAACTCTCAACCAATTCTGTGCAAATATGCAGAATGAAATAATAACTGAAAACATAAAAAATACAATGAAGCTGCTTGGCCTTTTCAAGCCACTGCATTCTATTTAACTTAACCCGCCTGAATTTTAAGAAGTTGACTTGCTTTCTTAATATGAACAATAGATCATGTAATAATTTCCCATATTATATGTGTGGGGATATAAACATTTTCAAGTCCTGCACGGCACAAGTAGTTTGCGCGGTCGAATTCCTGAAGTTATTTTCATGGATGCACCTTAGGAGGAGAAGAGAAGAAGACCAGATTGGCAGCCTAGGGTCAGACTTTAAAAGAATATTTTAACTTTTATCTGCTACACTTCCTCTCTAGGGAGTGGTAATGAAAACTTACCTGTTGCACACAAGCATCAAAATTCAATAATTTGGCAAAAGTAAAACAGAAACTCAGCTATTGTTCAAGGCATTTCTCTTCCATAGCAATACTGCAGCTGGGATAAATGGAACATTTAAGCAAGTATACCAACATTACTCAAGACATTACACCCCTGAAGAAGATGAGGCTGGAGTGTCATGGAATATTAAAAGTTTCCTCCTTTGATGCCGGATGGTAGCTGAGGGACTGTGAGGACTACAGACTCAAAAAAGCTAAGCCCTAATGCAGAGCTTTGGGAAGGCAGGGGAAAACAGCAGATCAACTTAAAATATAAAAGCGGCAGCAGCAGCAGCAGCAGCAAAGGAATCAAACAAAGCAAAACCGCAAATGTGCCACAGACCTGATGGGGGATGAATCGCTGGACGTGGAGGAGGTGGGCATAGGGCTGGATGGTGCAGAGAACATGGGCCAGGACGGTGAAAGGGGTGACGTTGGACTTGGATTCTGAGGGCTGCAAGACAGAACCAAACAACTTATCAAGACACAGGAAAGCACAGCACCAACAAATAACGTCTTGAAGGCATGGTCCAGCAATAATGAGTGCCCTGGAAAATTCTGCAGAATTAGAGAAAATCCCCAAATGGAAAATTTGGGAAATTATTTAAAGGCTGGTATCTTGTTTCATTGGAGTCTGTCTCACACTCAGACCTACTCTCAGCCAGGCCTTCCTATCATTCCTGTTCTGCTGTTATTCGGTTTAACAAGTTGCATCTTTGCTGTCTTTGGCGAGAAGATCCCAAGGTCCTATGGCCATCTCATTTCACGTTGCTACCCACATTTTCTCCCCCTACCCCTCCTTTTGTTCCAAATATCCCTCACTGATTACCAGAAATTGCTGATCATATTTTTCTACAGTTAGCAACTTTTGCAACAACCTGCTGTGGTACTATGTTCAGGAAAAAAAGGATTATTCCCTGGGTCATCATGCATAGCACATGAAAATGATTTCCTGTTTACATTTAGGAGTAAATGAGCCCTGCATGCTGGAAACCCAGAGGAGTTTGTTTTTAATAAACAAGTAAGTTGGCGGGTGACTCTTCTACTCTGAATGGAGTAAGGAAAGGACAGACAGCCCACTCCCAATCAAATTCTACCACCACAAAAATATAAATTAAAGAACCCCTCAGTATACATTTGGTAGATTGAGAAATAACTGAGATGAAGGACTAGAAACTCCACAGAGAAGTTTTTTCCTATGCAGACAGATTCACAGATATAAGCTATAGTACATATTCATAGACCACAATGATTTAGCTAATGAAAAGCATACTGGTCTTACTGTAATTCTTTTCAAGTCCTTAAAAATTATCAGTTGAGAAATGTATGCAGGGACAAACTGTGCCAAGAAAAGACCAGGATTGTTTCATGTTTTCAGGACATAAATAAGGTATTGTGGACATGAGAGCTTAGAAGTTCAAGTAGTTTCCCCCTTTTTAAACATAAGAAATAGTTTGGAAAAGTGATCCTTCACATGCAATGTATCTGCAGTCCTAGGATTTAGGGCTGTTTCCTTCAGTAATCTGAGTAGTGGTGAGTGAGTAGTGGCTTAATTGGGCTTAATTAACAGTGAGTAGTGGCTTAATTGGGCTCCTAACAAGTTTCATGGCTTGTCTGGACCAGAGTGAAACTATGAAACTTGCTTAGCTCTTTTAGCATTAATTACTAATGGGCATGGTATACTGGAAGTGGGGGGGAGGGGGGCCGAAAAATGGAAGGACTTGTGCATGGCAAATTTCAAATTAATCACAGAAATTCTCAAAGAGTATCAGAAAACATGTGGGTGCTAAACACAGCCTCTCAGCTCCACATTATCTGCCCTGATGGGGGTGATTATCCAAGAGTCCAGCCAATTTGCAGCCCCATGTATCTGAGCCTTCTTCCATCCCAAGCAGCACAATAACCTTGCCACAGCCAAACTATTTTGACACCTGAGGCAAAAAATCCTGCAAGTAGCTTTCCCGTGGGGGAGAGGGGGGCAGAGAATACAGTAGTAAGAAATTAAGCTAACAATTTACTTCCTGCCTGAGGCAACCACATTGCTCTGCGTAACAGCTGAGCTGTTCAGCTACAGTCCTTTCCCTGGCGCAGTGCAGGGAGGATACAGGAATTTGAATCATGGAAACTCATCCATTCCTATTTTAGCAATCTTCAAATGTGCACACAAAAACATTCACTATTCCTTAACAATATCCTTGTTTTACTTTCTGTTACCTCATCTAGAAGGAAAATGCCAGCATATCACACTATGACTTTTTTTGTATGTTAAGTTTTATTTAAGATCTTGATTTTATCACATGAAGTAGAATCCGTTTATAGGAACTGCTGACAGAGTGATTAAACCTTTGCAAAGAGGAGGAACGATTCACTTCCTTTGGTTACACTTATAGTCATTCATTCACGACTGGAACATATACAGAACCTGCAAACTGGATTGAATTCAGGTAGTTTTACAGCATTCCTGCATACATCGGTTTTAACCACAAAAAACAGTTAAGGAAGCTAGGCAGCATGTTGAGGCTGTTGAAAATCCACCAGTTAGTTTCGTTCAGGCTTAGACATCTTTAGGAATGGCCTCGTTAAATTTAAGGAATTAGAACTTCAGAATGTTAATCAACACTGTCAGTTTCACTACAGAGTTTTGAACTCCTGTTTCAAGACTGTGGCTGTGGCATATACTAAAATCAGAGGAATTTAATTCTGTTTCCAAAGGGAGAAAGCATTTTTCAAATGCCAGAAAGATCATCAAATCAGAGCTAACATTGTAATAGTTAATTCTACGTATGCTGAGTTAGCCATTAGTAAGCTATGGGTTGTCAGCTCAGCAGAAGATAATTCATACAATGATTTAAGGTGCATATATATTGCTTCCTAAGAGTGATTTGGCACAAGTTTATTTAAAAAGTAAAAATGACTCAAACAGAAATTTACAAATGTTGCACATTCCATGTTAACAGAGGCCAGAAACTGCAGTTGAGTTTCTTACTGCTGTTCTTGGTTTGGCCTGCATTCAAACATTTCGCTATGAAAGCAATATGTAAATATGTGCAAAAAGCTTAGCTATTCAGTTCTGAATAATATTTAACCCACTAAATTCTTATCTCAGGCAAATCAACAGTTACTGAAAAATACATTTCGTACCATCAGGCTCTTTGCTCTTTTTAGCACCTTGGATTTTGTACACCATCATTATCAGTGCACATCCAGACATGCCCATGATCCTGTCCAGTAGACTTTCCTTCCCCATGGAAAAATTAGAACAGACGACATGCATATAATGACTTCTAACTAGTCGCAGTATGGATGCTTCTTGCCATATGGTGCCTACTGTCTCCAGATCATGATAAGTAGTTCATATGTACAAAATCGCTAAGAAAATTAAGCCCTGTCAAGCTGTTTGCTCCTACATCACTATCATTCATTGTAACCTCAGTCCTACAAAAGGTTTCTGCATGAAGTTGGCAATCTGTGGGGACCGTTTCAGATAATTCTGAGCTAAAAGCTGAAATATGTATCTGCTTGGGTGTGATGCCATTCCTTCTGGAAACATTTGCTCCTTCTTACCCTCAATAGTCCTCTGCCTCATTTACCAATATAACCTTTTAATCTTAGTGGCTGAACTGATCCAAATATTTCTGATGGAACAGCACTATCTTGGATCCAGTGTAGTGCAGTGCAGTGTAGAACAGTCCAGTCCAGTCCAGTCCAGTCCAATTAAAGGTCATTAAGCCAAGTGAACAAAAAGACTCCTTTCAGAATCAAAATAACTGGTATGTTATATTTGCTAATGATATCTTTCAGTTTTGAGTAATTTCATCATATGTTCTACTTCTGAAGCAAATACAAAAATTGGAATCTATTTGGCCAAGCCACAGCTTCACGTTATCTGCTATGGATAGTTGTACTGGAAGAAAAAAATGAAAATGGTATTTATTGGCACTGGAAACTGTTTCTATTAAGATATTATAACCCTTGAGGGTAAATGCCAAGCAATTTCAAATGTAGATAGTAACTATAGTTTGCTGTATAATAGGATTGCTTACAAGCAATAACTGCAGTGTTTTCACTAACAAAAAAGTATCCTGGGTATCTTTTTAAATGCATTTTATGGGAACCAGAAGCCAACATGGTGCCTATGTTTTATATTTTATATTGGATTCTGTGTCTTACAATGGAATTCAAGTAAATGGACAGTGTGCAAGGAGCTGATGGCTTCTTTCCAATTTTCTTGTGGGAAAATATCCTCATCATAAAAAAAAAAATCAGCTCATAATTTGGCACCAGAAGAACATTCTTGACCAGAATGGAACAGTTTTTAATAGAAGTCATAGTTTATGGCCAAGCTTGTTTTAAGTGAGGGTCTATTCAAGACAGACCATAACCTCTACTTCAGAGAAACAGAGTAAGAGGATCAAAGAAAGCAATGGAATAAGGTAGCATAGGGCAGACAAAGAATGAAAACTAGGACTGAGTGAATTTTTCAAGCCAAACTTTTTAAAAATGAAAGAATGGGTTTGGAAGAGCACAAAACCATTCTGACAAAAGCAGCAAACTCTTGCAGGCGCCCATGTCTGTGTGTACGTACAACACACTTCCTTCTCCTTTGTAGAATACTTCAGAATGGAACCCACTTTCATGAATGTGAAACTGAAGGCCATTCCCCTTAGTCCCTTTTAGAGCAGTTTTGTAAAGCAGTGATTTCTCAAAATAGGGTCTACGAACCATTGGTGATCCATGGAGGTCCAACAAGTAGTCCACTGCAGCTTTCCCCATGTTCACCCACCACAGCCTGCTCACTGTCTCAGCCTCATTTTGTCACATTTCATGACCATAATCTCACCAGCTGATTTTAATACATGCGGGAAGGCAGGGCCAGTGCACAGGGGGAGGCCTCCAAGAGCCAGCTGGTCAAAACCTGCTTGCCACATTAGCCTCTGTGTTCCCACCTTCATCAGAGTTCAGTTGCCACCTCAGCCTTGCCTCAAGTTGTAGATGAATACATAATTTTGGTTTAAATTTGGGGCACAGAGCATACATAAGGCATACAGAAGTGTAACTATAATCATTTACTAGTCAAAGAACCAAACTCCCAGGCTCTTAAACATGAAAACACAAGAGGGGAGGTGTTTAACTATACTTTCTGAATTTTTATTTAGTGGCCCATCATTAAGTTTGAGAAGCACTGCTCTGAAGCAATGGTCATCAAGATTTGGAGAATGAAACATATTTGCAATTGTAGGGAAGTGCCAGGACACTGCCTCGGAATGGATGCATAGTCATTCACTGCCAGGGGGCCAAATCGGGGGTGGGGGTGGGGGGGAAGAGACACTAATCTAAATTAATGGCATTAAATATAAGTATGCAAGTACTTTAATTGTATAGTGCATATATACATACAAAATATTATTTCCCCATAGTCATTAAAATTTTATTTCTCAGATAATATTAGTACTA